TGTGGTTCGCAGTCCAGTGTTGATCCTACAGCACCACACCAGGAGTCCACATCATATGCAGTACACACATATATAGGTGTGTATGCATGTGTTTTCATGAGTATGTGGGTGTATACTCTTTGTATTTATTCACATGTAAGAGCTTTGCAGCAGAGGAAGCATCTCTCTGTAGGTGACACCATTTGCTATCTTGTTGGCATTGTGCCAAAACCTTGTCTAATAAGTGGAATTTTAGCAAAAGCTTCTTGGCACAGAAAGGTACATGAAGGGCAGCAGAAAAACACAGAGAATCCATGAGAGAATGATTAGGAGAAAAATGATCCTTTAGATGTTTTTTTATAAAGGGAAGTTGGTAGGGACAGGTCAGAGAAAGTAGAATCTTTCCCTATAAAGCCAAAGAACATTAGACATTGGCCAATTCTAATGGAGTCAGAACTATAACTATCAAAGAGGCATTCACAAGAATTGAGGTTAAAAGGATATAAGCAAAAACTCCAGACCAATAAAAGCAAAGGAAGGTGTATTCTTTAGTCACCAACCATTTGATTAACACAGGCTCAGCAACAGGAATCTTGGAGGTTGTTTTTCTGTGAACCAAATGGAAGGAGACGTCCTCTCTGTACCTTCTACGCTGAATTTGGCCAAGTCATGATTTTCTCTGCCCCTCATACTTAATGCAATGCGTGTGTGTGTGTGTGTGTGTGTGTGTGTGTGTGTGTGTGTGTTTGATGGTGGGACAGGCAGGTAGGAAGAAGGAGTGAGGGTCCGGGTTAAGACTATATAGCTAGATCTAGGCTAGATCTAGGAATTTGTTAAGTGTTAGGGTTATGGTTAGGACTAGACTCAGTGTTACGGGTAAGGAAATGGGTTGGCCTAAGGCCTAGGAGTAAGGTTTGGCTTAGTTTTAAGGGTTACAGTCAAGTTTATTTATTTATTTTTTTTAGGTTTTTTTTTTCTTGAAATCTACTCAATTTCCTCTCCATTTGGAAATTCTTTATCTACATTCTTGTTGTTAAGTGCTGCCAAGTCTGTTCCAACCCATAGCGTCCCTGTATTTCCAAGGTGCGGCTGGTGAGCTTGAACCGCCGACCATGTGGTTCAAACCAACTTTGTAGTCCAGCACAATTATCCCACTATAGCATTACCTATTTCTGAAGTATTAGTGTTAATCTTCTGGGTTTCTGGTTGCTGTTTTTGTATGGTTCCCATTTTTCCATTGATTTTGTCTGTTTCCTGAATTCTTCTGAAGTTTTGTCCATGTTTTCCTTGATTTCATCTGCTGTTTTCTCAATCATTCTTTCTCAATTCATTGATGTTGCCACACCTTATTCCCTCTTTTTACTTTATGTTTTTGTTGACATTCTGCAACTGTATCTATAAGACTGTTTTCGGTGTTGTAGGCCTGTTTTTCTTTGAATACTTCCATATCTGGGTCCAGTCTGGGTGATATTGTCATGTATGTTAGTCTCGGGTTGTTGTCTGCTATTGTTGGTTCTCTGTCCAAAGAACTTCCTTTAGTAGTTTTTGTAAGGTTGCTTTGGCTTTTACAAATTGTTTTAATCTTTGCTTATCTGAAAATGACCTAATTTTGCCATCATATTTGATGGACAATTTTGCTGGATTATTGGTTTGCAATTTTCTTTCTTTTCGAGTTTTATATATGTCATTCCGTTGTCTTCCTGCATGCATGGCTTCTACTGAGAAATCAGAGCTTAAGCTTAGTGTTTCTTCTACTTTTTAGATAACTTTTTGTTTTTCCTGAACTGCTCTCAGATTTGTTTCCTTTTCTTTGGTTTAGAAAAGTTTGATTTATAATAAGTCTTGGTGTTTTTCTTTTAGGGTCTGTCCTGTTTGGAGTTAATTCAACTTCTTGAATGGCTATTTTCTTGTCTTTTGTGATGTTAGGGAAGTTTTCTTCCAACAACTTTTGGACAATATTCTCTATGTGTTTGTTTTTTTGTTGTTGTTGTTGTTTTTTTGTCTCTTCCTATTCTGGAATTCCAATCACACGTAAGTTTTTCCTCTTGATAGTATCCCACATAAATCTTAGTCTTTGTTTGGATTATTTTGTTGTTGTTGTTATTTTTTCTGATTGTTCCTCTGGCAAATGCATACTGAGAGTTTTCTTTAAATTCATTAATTCAGTCTTCCATTGATGGAATTCAACTTCTCTGCCCTTTCAGTACATTAGCTACTTATGAAGTTTTAGTGATAATCTTCTGGGTCTCTGGTTGCTGTTTTTGTATGGTTTTTCATTGATTTTGTCAGTTTGTTTCCTGAATTCTTCTAAAATTTTGTCCAAGTTTTCCTTGATTTCATATGCAGTTTTCTCGATCATTCTTTCAATTCAATGAAGTTGCCTAATTAACATTCTTTTAATTTCTGATCAGGTAGTTCTGATACTATTTCTAGTGTTACGTTTTCTGACTCTGTATTTTGGTCACTAGTTTGAGGCAGTCTGTCTTGTTTCTTTGTGTATGGTGAACTTGTCTGTTTTCAATGAGACACTGTGGTATCGTATTTATATTTGACTGATGATTGGAGAGTGGTGTGCTCCCAGGCACTCACCACCTGTCTTCTGGTGAATGTGATAAAGACCGGAAGCATGAACACAGTTCTCCATTTACTGTTTGTGTAGAGGAATTTGGAGCAGGTTTCACAGGCCTCCAGAAGCAAGGGTGTTATGCCAGGCCCGTGGTCGTAGGCAGAGCAGAGGCTGTGACAGAAGGGATACCACTGGCTGCTGTCCCCAACTACCAAAAGGGCATGGAAACAAGGGAGAATTGTAATCACCCACTGCCAACCTCCATCTGTGACCTGTTCCTGCAGGCCACTGTATTGATAGCAGCTCACAAAAGCCCAAGATGGCCTCTCTGTTCCAGGCAGCCCACAGCCCGCCCGTTTTACTTTTCTCTGGCTGCTCCTGTTCAGCTCCCTCTTCTAGTCTGCACTCAATCCACCTCTTTGCCCTGTGCCCTGATGCTCGGGGTTCTAGGGTTGCCATCTGTATCTGTTACACTCTGTTGTAGAGGGTTGGCTTTGTTTTAGAGGGTTGGCTCAATGCATCTGCCTACTCCACCACCTTGCCTCAACTCTTTCTTGTATAATATATGAAACTATTTCATAGTTACATTGTTCAGAAGCTTGGTTTAGCAACACATGTTACTTCCCATTTTACTACAATAGGAGTATTTCCATTTGGTTATTAAGAAAATAGCCTTAGGCTCTCTACTAGACTATAAGCAGGCTTGTTCACTGTTGTATCACCAATACCAAGAACAGTGGCTGGCTACCAATAAATAGAGCTAATATACACCAAATCAAAGTTAGTCATTTCTTTTTCCTGAAACCAGAGACGCACAACTGCTCAAGAGCATATTCTAGATAGCCAATTAAAGAGAGAGAGAGAGAGTGAGAGTGAGAGTGAAGAATCAAATATTTGAGACCAAAAGGGCAGTGGTGGTGCCTATGTGCCGTGGAGTCGGTTCCAACGCATAGTGACCCAGTATAGGGTTTCCAAGACTGTAAATCTTTACAGGAGCAGAAAGCCTCATCTTTCTCCCGTGGAACAGCTGGTAGTTCCGAGCTGTTGACCTTGTGGTTCGCAGTCCTATTCATAAACACTATGCTACCAGAGGCTCCTTAAAAGGACAGTATTATCCCAAATTCAGAAGAGTTAGAAATGAAGAGGGATTAGAAATAGGAAACACAAGGAGAATGTGGGATTAGCTATGTTACACTGATCTCATACAATCAATGAGATGAAATGCAATGTGTAGGAGTTGTTGAATGTAAAATTGATGATCTACTCTATAAACTTTCACCCAACTCACCATAAAAAGATATCTTTTGGAAAAGTTAAACATCTTGTGAGTGAACAATTTGTATTTCTACACACAAAGAAGCCCCTGCATAAATGTGAATACTAGATGCTTCTATGCAGGTCTATTCCTTACACCCATGCACTTTTCATAGTCAAAAGGAATGAGATTTTCAGAAAAAAAGAAAGATGGTTTTCACAGGAAGAAAAAGTTCTATACTTGAAACCTGCAGTAGCCCATTTTCAGGTTTCAAAGCTACCTTCTTATTCCAGACACCCATCTGGACAGCTGGAGAGAAGAATGCAGTCACAAAGGGAAATAAATATTGTAAACTATAAAGCAAACAGCTGAAATCAGTTTTCTGCACTACCCTTGATTAGCTATTTTCCAGCTCTAAAAGCCTGAAGCAAAAAACACTGAAACAGCTATAAACAATGGACGCTTTGAAATAGGTTCCCTTTACATGTCATGCAAGAGGAGATGAACCACATGTCAGCAGTAAATATCCGCACAGAGGGTCATCTGGAAGCAGGAACTGTCTTTGGGGGAGGGGTGGTAGACAGACAGAAAATGAGTGGGGGCGTTGCAAAGCTCTGGCTTCAGAGAGGACTTGATGCATTTCTTTAATACAGAACCTCCGCCCTCTGGGTGTTTGCTAGTTAAACAACTGAGCTTGTTTGGATTGAAGCCATAAGAGGGTTGTGGGGGAGGCAGAGGTTCCGGAGAATGAGAGTACACAGTGTTAAATGAAAAAGACATGGTGCCTTTCAACGTGTGGGGACAATCATCACTGTTAATGTCTGTGGAGGGAAACTAGAAGTTGAAAAACCAGGGGGAAGGTAAGGGGACCCCTGAGAGGAGCTGCAAATCTGCTTCAAGGAGTCAGGGTACCTGGAAGCCATAGGCTAGGACCTCAGGCATGTACCTACCAGGGAACTAAATGGCAAGTATGAAAATAATGGGGTATATAGAAAATAAAAGTGAATAGAAGGCAACAACCATATTCTTTTCTGAGTCAGCAGTGCAGAGACGGAGAGAATGCCCGGATATTGCTCTATCCTCTCTCCTGAGCCATCTGCCTTGGGAGAAAGGAGAATAATAGGGAGATTTTGTCAGAGATCAAACAACTCTGGTTTCTGTTAAGTTCACCTTCACCTTTGGGGTTTGAGTTTGTTCTCTATGTAATTAACAGAATGAATGTCTAGTGAGTATGTGTGTCTATGTGTGTGTGCTTGGGGTTTTGTAGTTAACCCTCACTGGCCACTAGGATCCCTTTCAGTTCATTATTATAATGCACAAATGGGGCCCTAGTAATACAAAGTAATCCAGGATTTTACACACTGGAAAATTCTGACCTAATGAAAAGGTCTCTACCTGTGAGAAAAAAAAGTAATAAAAGTTGTTAAGTGCCATCGAGTTGGTTCCAACTCATAGCAACCCTGTATAGGGTTTCTGAGGAGTGGCTGGTGAGCTTGAACTGCAGACCTTGCGGTTCAAAAGTAGCTATAATGAATAAGAAAAAGAAAGGAAGAAATTATATGTATGCTGCTTGATCAACTTTAGAATTTTATATTTCCTTCAGGTTTCTTTTTTAGCAAAAGCATAAGTATAATTTTGTGAAATAAAGGGAAAAGGAAGTGTCCAACAAACAAGCTAAGATTTCATCCTGAAAAAGTCACAAAAGAGAAGCCAGAGAGAGTAAAATGTTGCATGTGAAGGCCACAAAAAGAGGAGCCCTGGGAAAGAAAACAAACCAATGAATCTGAAAAGATGTTTCATGGCAAAATGTGAAGTTCAGTATCAAGTTGGAAAGTAAACATTAAGTTCCTAAACATTTGGTTGAAAGGTTTGAGAATAAAATTTAGCTAAAAATTCTGCTCCGCTTTGTTTCTTTGTTGTTGTTGTCAGGTGCCATTGAGTCGGAACCGACTCATAGGGACCCCATGCACAGCAGAACGAAACAATGTCAGATCCTGGGCCAACCTCACTATCGCTGCCACACTTGACGCCATCAATGATGCCACCTGGCTGATCCATCTCATTGGAGGTCTTTCTCTTTTTCTCTGACCCTCCATCTTACCCAGCATGACATCCTTTTCCAGCGACTGTTCCCTCCTGACAATATGTCCAAAATATGAGAGACGAAGCTTAGCTATCCTAGCCTTCAAGGAGCACTATGGCTGCACTTCTTCCAAAACAGATCTATTGGTTCTTTGTTTCTTAAAGGGCACCAATTGAAAAATTACACCTTTTGTTACTCTCTCTGATGAACACTTTCACAATAATCAATCATATGCAACTAATAATATAGACTGTAACAAAGTAGAAAATAAGCAATTGCGTGTGTGTGTGTGTGTGTGTGTGTGTATTCCCCATGTAGAAGTATCCTTACACAATCTTTTTGAATTGGACTATAAGGACCAATACATATCAATTCTACTATCAGACATTTTGCTTTCAAAATAGAAAAACATTTGGTCTGAAGAAGGCCAAGAGAGAGTCAAGGCGTTTTACCTGTACAAATTTCTTCCCACATCATCTTCATTAACTGCGTATCCCTGGGGATTATCCGTGAAACTGAAGCCTGTGCCAACCTGAGGTAATAAACCAGGTATAAACATAGAAACACACACCTCAGAGCCCTTCACACAGAGCCCACCCTGGAAGGAAAGGCCTTGTTCCAAAGGCCTCTGACCTCAGATCTCTCTCTGCCCTCATCCACATGCATATCGTGACCTTCTCGGGAGGATGCTGTGCTGCGGGAGTCCGTCTTATCTTCCCCAAAGTCCAAATAACACAGCACAGGTCTCAGTTGTCCTGCTTCAGAAGTGGGGATCCGGCCACACATTTGTTGACTTAAGGAAGAGGCCCTCTCATTCACCTTTCCTGACCCCTGCTAGCATATCAAGTGACCCCAAGTTTTCTTCTGTCGGAAGTTTGCGGGGTGTACTACTCAGCCCTGACAAGAAGGCATCCACTAGGATGGAACTGAAATGCCGTGTCCTTTAAATGTGGTCTTGTCCCAGTTTTGGGACACTGTACCAGTCTCTCCCCTTCATGAGCAGCTGACTAAATTCACTCTCCACACACTCCCCTAATCAAGTTTTCACTCTCTTGACCCACTAGACCCCTGTTCTAATTGCCCCAGGAATTGGTATTCAGCAAGTAGGGGTACCCCTATGCCCCCTGACCTTGTAGAATTACTCAGAATGCTCTGCTCCCAGGAAATTGGTGGTCGTGGTGGTATATGGTGGTATGTTGTGGAGTTGGTTCTGAGTCATAGCAACCCTGCATAGTGTTTCTGAGGTTGTAAATCTTTATGGCAGCAGCCTTCGGGTTAGCAGCCTGCCTCATAACCACTGTGCTATCAGAGATCTGTAAACCCTAGCTAACCCCACCCTGCTTGTCTACATCAGCCTTCTCCTACAATTCCAATTTACTATTCCCTTGCAAATTGCAAGGGGGAGTGGGGTGCTACAATCCACTGTGTGGCCTTCTGGGAACTGTGAGCATGATTTACCTAGCGAATTTTCATGGTTTTGCCAATTTGTCTCTCACATTTTGCATCTGATAAATATATTAGAGCAGAGATAAGAGATAGTTGTCTATGCATTTTTTTTTTTTTTTCTGTACTGGTAAGAAATATGACCTATAAGTGGATAGGGGGGTTTTTAAATAAGATACTTATGTGACTAATTTAAAATGAATATTTCCTAATCCCCAAAAGTTCATAGAAAACTGAGAAGTAAATGTAGACAAGAAGCTGCTATTTTGTGTCAATCATTTGCATAAGGAATGTCCCACTAGCCAGGTGTAAAGATTTTAATTTTTTCCCCCAAACATCCAAAGGAACAGGGCATTTCATTCAACTTTGATTTAAATATGTGATAAAAGAATAGCTAAAAGAAGAATTTGGCAAAACATGCTGGGGAACAAGAATGTTGAGGGTTTTTTTGGTTTTCCTATTTGTTTTGTGAACCATGTGACAAGTGAGAGACATTAGATTAATTAGGGGCAATGGTATTCCAAAAGTATAAGAACTGATCTAGAGTTAGTCTCCTGTTTTGTGGCTTTTGGAAGAAGTTTCAGAAGAACTTCCCAAGAAGAATCCCGCATTTTGCACCAGGTTGGGACATTCTGCTTTCTGTGATAAGTAACAGACTTTTTAAATCTAGAACTCTATTTGAAAGATTAGAAGTTCCGAATATATAGACTTCACATTATGAAGAATCCATATCAGCAGTGTGAAGTAACTAATCCCTTATACTGGATGGAGGGTTTAGCTCTGTGAGCAGAAAGTTTTTATAAGATTAAGCTCAAGGAAAGGAGAAAAGGCATCAGTTAAATCCCCAAACTCAGATAGGTTAATGCATGCAAACAGAACAGCTAGCTCTTAAGGTGGTTTTAATTGTATAAATTAAACGTTATTTTAAAAAGAAAAATAATAAAAGCTGAATACCTTTGAAAAAATATACATAATAAAAAGAAAAATAAGACAAGAAAAGCCAACACTGGTATTGCAAATAGGTCTTGTATACTCACTGGATTATCAACGTAAAGCATAGAAAACGTGGTGGTCCAAGGGAAGTCTCTGGTGCGCACTATTAAAATAAAGAAGAGGTCTGAGTCTGTGTTATAAATAAAATGGATAGGTCCACCTGTCCTTGTCCCATCTCTTAGTGTCCCTTCCGGTACTGCTTCACACTCTCACAGCAGGGAGTAGGCCCCATTGCCTTAAGGCTCTCCTTTTTCTTCCCCAACCCAGCGGGATTCTACTTTGAAGCTGAAGCTTGGCAACAAATATTTGTTGTATAAATGAACACACACCTATGTAATAATCCCCCATCTGTCCAGTCCAATAGGTCTGTGTAGTGCAAACAGTTTACACTCAAGTATTAAACTAAAGATTGTGGTTCAGACCCACCCAGTGATGCCACACAAGGAAGACCTGGCTTCAGCAAAGCTGTGTTGTTGTTAAGTGCTGTTGAGTCAGTCCCAACTCAAACCTATACAGGGTTCTGAGGCTGTAAAGCTTTGCAGGAGCAGGAAGCCTCATCCATCCCTCTCAGAGTGGCTGGTGGCCTCGAACCTCCAACCTTATGGTTCACTTATTCTACAGATCCACCATGCTCCCCCTATAAAGATACAGGCAACAAAACCCTGTGGAGTAGATGTACTCTGAAATGCATGAAGTCAACATAAGTGGGAATCGATTCTATGACCATGGGATTGTTTTTTTGTTTTGTTTTAATATCCAGTCTCCTTGAATTCTTGTCTTCCTGTCGAAAGCTGAAGAGAACAACCACTTCAGCAAAACTGGCAAAGAAGCGTTTTATACTGAGTCACACACTGGTTCGTAGTCCAAATTCTGACCCAGGAAAAGTAAACCATTGGCACCAAGTGAAAAAATGAGATGGTGGTAAGCCTGGGTTGTTCTGTCTCCAGTCTACTGTTTACCCCAAACCTAATACTTGGAAGTATCATGCTTCCAAAATATCAGACCATTTATGTGACTGAACCATAAAGTGTTCAGTTCGTGTGAATAATTGCAGATATAATTCCACCCATTAATCCCACACAAGAGAGCTCTCCCAAATAGTAATAAATACCAACTGTTCCCATTATTAAGATTGCTTGAGTCAGCAATATAGACTCCCAGAAAATGGCTTAGCACCTTTCACCCAAATTTCAAAAAAGAAAGCAGCCCAGTCAAGACATTCACCCGATTGCTCCTCCTTCTTCCAGAAACATTGCCAGAAACTTGTGTTTTGATAATCTGGAACTGGTAAGCTATTCCTAGTGGTGCTGTGTTTACTCTAAATTATTTCTGGAGCAGATATAAGGTTCAGATAAACAGTTCTCCATAGGAAAAATGTAGTCGGGGCAATACTTACAGGTCATGTTACTTGTGACAACATAAGGTCCATGTTCCACAAAGAGACCAAACATCGAAGAACCTCCGGGCCCTCCCTGTAGCCAGAGAACTACTGGAGCATCAGCTGGCTGTACCTAGAGAGGACAGAAAAACCAGTGACCGCTCGCTGAGTCTACAGAATACATGCTAATAAACAGACCTAAATCCTGTCTCCTGAGGTCTTGAGTAAACCTTCCCAGACTCAAGAACCACTCTCCGTTAGGAACAGTGTAGACTAAGCACTAGACGGCTAACCACAAAGTTGGCAGTTCAAACCACTGGCTGCTCCATGGGAAAAAGATGAGGTTTTCTGCTCCTGTAAAGATTGATAGCCTCCAGAGAGGGAGAGCGACTGTGTGCTGAAGACCTGGGGGTTACGGGGGAAGGATTGCATGGAGGGGATTGTAACCATGGCAATGAGACAATATACGATAGAATGAATATAAAACTAATGTTTTCCCATGTAAACTATCACATAATTCACAATAAAACATTTAAGGAAAAAAAAAAAGAAAAAATGATAGCCTCGGAAACCCTCTACAGGGCGGTCACTATGAGTTGGAACCAACTTGATTGCGATGCATTTGAGTATTGTCTTAGTGAGTACTGGTGTGGCACTGTATGAGAATTATTGGTCTATCAATCGCAAGGTCAGTAGTTCAAACACACCAGCCACTCTAGGAAACCCTATATAGGGTCACTATGAGTCAGAACCAACCAGCCAGTACACTATAATAATATGCCCATCACCCTGCAATAAACCTATTGTTTTGAATCATAATCTGCCGGTGTGGTGCTGTGGGTTAATGCACTTAACTGCAATGTTGGTTTGAACCGCAAGGTAGGTGGTTCAAGCTTACCAACCACTCCTCGGAAACCCTTTACAGGGTTGCTGTGAGTCGGAACCAACTGGATGGCACTTAGCAACAACAACAATGCTAAGTGTCTATCTTGAGTAGTTACGTCTTTTCTCACCAATACCCAGAAAATTCCTTGAATGTAGAAGCTTAGTTTCATAGGCCATCAGGTGCTTCGCATACGGCCTGGTGTGCCGTTTATATATACATTTATATATACATTCACTATTTAAACTTTTGGGGGCTCTTCCAGTTGACCTACATGGCTCCGATAAAGGCACAACAAAAATCCATTATTTTCATTACCTACGCCTTCCTTCACTGAGAGCCCCAACTGTGTTTCTGATTGAATTCACTAAGGAGATGTTCACAGGGATACCAGTAAAGCCATGCAACACAAGGGAGCTGAGGAGAAGACAACAAGCCCTAAGCCATTTTGCCAATGTCAATAGCAGCCAGAAAACCCCTAAAATAGATGTGTATTTATTTAGGAGGTGGGGAGACATGTATCAGAAAAGGTCCATAGGCCAGATATATCAATACCATCATCACCCTCCCTGACAAAGAGGTCTCTAATTCCTTCATTCAGCAAATACTTATTGAGCAGCTAAAGAACTTTGTTGTCACAGTAGGTTAAGCATTGGGCTGCTAACCACAAAGTGGGCAGTTCAAAACCTTCAACCGCTTCTTGGGGAAAGATGAGGCTGTCGACTCATCTTTTTTTTGCAGCCTCAGAACCCCTAAAGAACACATCTACTCTGCTCCGTAGGATCACGGTGAGCCAGAATCAGTTTGATACCAGAGGGCCATCAAATGGAATATAGGCTAAGTACCTGGGAGCAAACAGCTAACACATTCACCTGAGAATCAAGAGACTGGAGTTTTGAGTCCACCCAGAACTACCTGGAAAGAAACACCTGACAAACTACATTGGAAAATTCAGTCATTGACAAAATGAGGAAAACTTTTTAGATATTACCAAACATCTTAAGGTAATGAGTTGCTGGGCCTGGGGGCTCAGGACCACAGTCTCAAGGGACACCATGGTCAACTGACCTAACAGAGTCCACAAGTCAATGTTCTACATCAACTTTGGTTCATAGCAACTGGGATTTTAAAAGCTCATGAGTAGCCACCTAAGGTGGAACTCTTGGTCTCTCCTTGTGCAGAAGAAAGATGAGTGATGAGAACTGAAAGTGCTTGGGACCAAGATGCAGTGGGTCAAGGGAGTGTGTAGACATCATGAATCTGAGACCAGAAGAACTAGATGGTGTCCAACTTCCACTCCCAAATATTCTGAAAGGAATCACATTAGAAGGTCCTGGGCAGAGGAGGAGAAACTGTGGAACAAACCTCAAAATTATAAAACCTCAAAATTATAAAAAGGTAATCAGATTTACTGATCAGAAAGAGATGGGAGAAACTCAAGACTATGACCCTCAGTCACCCTTCAGGTCTAAAATGGAACTCATCCTTCATAGCCCAATGTTCAGCCATGCAGTAGGGGGTGAGGGTATATAGGGGGGTGAGGGACAACAACACTAGTCAGGTATGTCCACCAGGGAATGAATGGTCAACCACTCAAGATCAAAAGGGCCAACTTTACCTAAGGACAAAGTTGAGGAGGGATGAGAAGGAGGGTAGAATGGAACTAGGAACCCCAGGGAGAAAGCAGAATAACTATTGTTGTGTGCAGGGGATGGCAATCATTGAGATGAAACAAAGTGCATGATTTGTTGAATTAAAACTGATGATCTTCTCTGTAAACCTTGACTCAACTCACAATAAAAAGTTTCAAAGACAAAAAAGAACAATAAGCCATTGAAAACTTTTTGGAGTATGATTCTACTCTGACACACCCCATGAATTGAAGTAGCTTGACCTCAGCTAGTTTAATATGGACAGTCACCAAGCTAGAGACAAGAAAGAGTATAGCAGTTATTGGAAAAGAAAACTTCCTGTCCTCTGAAAGCATCCACTTTCACAGGGAATACAAGCAATTAGTGAACACAGCAATACCAATTGAATCATGAGTGTAGAAAGGAGCTGAAAAGGGTGATGTTGAGAGAGTAGCTGAGGGTTGAGAAGGAGGAAATGACCAGGGAGGGCATCAGTGAGGTCTGGAAGCCCAAAGGCTGAGAAGGAACAAAGAACAAGGCTGCAGATGGCAGGGGAAATGCCACACAGCAAAGTATTGGGAGGAGAAGGTTGAATGAGGAGGTAGCATGGCCCTAGTGCAAACCCTCCAGAGCCATCTGAAAGAAACTTCCCTTGGTCTTCACTAGACTAAAAGCAGTGGCATGACCCTCATTTAATGCTCAGCCATCTGGACTCAGCAAACAAGGATCTGATTGCTCCAACCCAGAAGGAAATCTTGCAGCCTCTTAACCCAGCCAGTGTTTTGGTGGAAGTCAGTGTTTTGGTGGAAGGCCCAGTGGCTTGGCTCCACCTGCCTGGATGGTTAAGAAGGTTGCAGAAAGAAGGCAGGATGAACTCAGTGGGGGATGATTTGGGATAACATAGCCCTGGTGTGATGCTGTAGGATGAACACTGGACCGCACTGTCAGTTTGAACCACAAAGTCGGCGGTTCAAACATACCAGTCACTCCTTGGAGATCCTATACAGGGTTGCTGTGAGTTGAAGCCAAAACAACAACAGCCAAGAATTTGGAAGGAGATGGATTGGAAAAGACTCTAGCCATGAGGGAGTCCTGGTGTGGCGCTGTGAGTTAATGCACCCGACTGCAAAGCCATTTGAACAGCAAGGTCAGCAGTTCAGGCTCACCAGTGGCTCCTCAGAAACCCTATACAAGGTCACTATGGATCAGAACCAACTCGACGGTACTTCACAACAACTAGCCATGAGGACAGAGAAGGTAGAGGGATTTCTCTTCTCCAGCCACCCAAAGTTTGCCATAGAGTCTTTAGCAGTTTGGGAAAGGGCCAATGAGAACTTGCTGAAACAGGACGGTGCCAAGAATTGCTGTGAATTGGAGAAGGGCCTCCAGGACGCACACTCAAGCGCTAAGGAACCGCCACTATTGTTAGTTCCATCAAGTCTGTGCCGACTTGTGGTGACCCCATGTGTAACAGAACGAAATGCTGTCTGGCCCTGCACCATCCTCACCCTCACGTGGCTGGCAGGTTCAAGGTCATTGTTGCAGCCACTGTGTATTCTGAGAGCCTTCCAGCCTCAAGGGCTCATCTTCCAGCATTATATCCGATAGTGTTCTGTTGTCATCCATAAGGGTGTCAGTGACTAATTTTCCAAAGTAGATTGCTACCTGCTGTCCGTTTACGATACTGTGGTGACTTGCATGTTGCTCTGATACTAGAAACTATGCCACTAGCATTTCAAGTATCAGCAGGCTCACCCATGTTGGGCAGCTTTCAGTGGAGCATAAAGACTAACAGATACTAGGAAGAAAGACCTGCCAATCTAGTAAGGAATTAAGTGAAATAATATCCATTACGCCCTGCAGACAATGCTATCTACACCACTGTGTCCCCCCACAATAAACAAACAAACAAACTCACTGTTTCCAAGTCTATTCCAACTCTTAGAAGCCCTGCAGGGCACGGCAGAACTGCTCCTTTGTATTTCTGAAGCTACGCATTTTTACGGAAGCAGATTGTCTCATCTTTCTCTCAAAGAGCAGCTAGTGGGTTTGAACCACTGGCTGACTTTTCACTTAGCAGCCCAATACTTTACTCATTGCTTAGCATATATGATAAAAGCACAGGAAACCATTATAATGAAGGGAACACAGAAAATGGTGCAATCCCTGAGTCAGACTAGAAACCCAAATAAGTATGGCTCTAGCTCAAAGAGTCAGTGCAGTATTGTAGTTGTTAAGTGCCGACTCATAGCAACTCTGTATAGGCTTTCCAAGGAGTGACTGGTGAACTTGAAATGCCAACCTTGTAGTTCAAACCGACCTTGCAGTGTAGTGCATTAACCCATAGCACCACACAAGGCTCCCAGCACAGTAAAACGGCTAAACATATGAGCTCTGGCCCAAAAGTGCTTGGGTTCAAATCCTGGCTTTACTATCCGCCAGCTGTGTGATTCAGAGAAACTTAGCTGAGCTCTCTGGACCTCAGCTTTGCTACTTGTAAAATGGGGATCACCAAGAGCATCCTAATAATAGTGACACTGTAGAATAAACACGGCACTGCTAACCACAAGGTCAGTAGATTAAATCCACCAGCAGCTCCATGGGAGAAAATTAAAGCTG